AGAGAGAGAGAGAGAGAGAGAGCGGGAGAGCGAGAGAGAGAGAGAGAGAGAGAGAGCAAAAAAGCGAGAGAGCGCGAGAGCGAGAGAGAGAGAGAGAGAGCAAAAGAGCAAAACAGCGAGAGAGCGAGAGAGCGAGAGCCAGAACGAGAGCAAGAGCGAGAGAGCGAGAGAGAGAGAGAGCGAGAGCCAGAGAGAGCAAGAGAGAGCGACAGTGAGAGCGAGAGACCAAGTAAATTGTTCAGTGTACTACGTATCTCTTTTAATCCATATTCCCATAAATTACATTAATTGTGAAGCTTAAAGAACATCCCTACTGCTTACACAACAGGTGTAGCTTACATAATCTGCTCCACCCAGCTGTTACTTATGTGTGAGAGTTCCCTCCTGGTTTCTGCTCCCTGCTGATCTGTAGGATTGCTGCATCTTCCAGTATGGTTTCTTTATTCATTCCTTGCCCAAATCATAAAAGAATCTGATAATTTTCCTTTCTAACAACAAAAAGACAGAAACAAGAATAACCAGGTGTTTTTAGGGTTTTCTGTGGCTATAAAACATTAAAAAATATTCTACATATTGCCATAGAATCCTTTTATTAGCCCAAGAATTTTACTTTTCTCTATTATGTTTTTTCCTGTATGTAAGCCCACTACATGGAACTGTGTTACCCAAAAGGATTTCTATACTAGCTGACAGCGAACTAAGAGCTAACCATGTGTAGAATACAATGAGGGAATCATGCAAATGAACAGAACAAGGATGAGGGCCACAACAAAAGCTCAAAACTCAGGGAAAAATGAAAATCCAAGAACTTGGTGATGCTCCAGAGAGGAAACCAGCAAGTGTTGACGCTAAACTGGCAGAAACATCAATACTTCCTGGCTCCCCCACTGGGTGCATCAATTTACCAAGGCAGACTGCTATTCTGCTGCAAGTGACAGACAGTGAATGCTGTCAATAACATGAAAAGAAATGACCCCTAATCAAGAAGCATAGCTGTGGGCAGCAATGAAAAAAAGGTGTGATTGTCAGAAGTATCAGACTCAATTCTGCTGCTGATTAACTTATTGACCTTGAACAAGTCATTTTCCCTGCAAAATCAGTATTTCTTAGAAATTTTGTATTAGGAAGAGTTACCATAGCAAACCTGAGATCGCTATTCTTAAAACGGCCTGCTTGAGAGGTTGGTTCTGGCATGGTATCTGGGGCCTTGGATCTCAGGAGGATTCCTATCACCCTAACTGGTAAGAGCAGTTTGTTACGCCTGAATTGTTAGTACCAACAGTATTTATACTGAATATCTGCTTTCCTTCTAGGAGAGTAAGACTTTGATATATGCCGAGTATAGGGTGCCTAAGTGACCAGCTCCCAATGAAAGCCTTGGGGACTGAATCAAAAATGAGTTTCAGTGGTAGACAACATTTTATACAAGTTGTCATAACTCGCTGAAGGATAAGCACACTCTGTGTACTTCGGTGGAAGAAGACTGCTGAAAGATTGAGCCCAGTTTCCTTCAGATTTTGTCCCATGCACCTCCTTCCTTGCAGACTTTGCTTCGAAACCTTTCACTGTGATAACAATAAGAATACCTACATGCAAAGTCCTGGGAGTTCCGCTAGTGAATCACTGAACTTGGAAGTGGTTTGGGTACACTGTTAAATACTATAGCAAATATTTTTCCAGCACTGTGAAGTAGGTATTATTATGCCCATTCTGTAGAAAAAGAAACTGAAGTAGAAAGAGGTGAGCAAAGAGGGGGCCCAGAAAATAGTATTTCAGTGTTTACTATACAATATATGGGTATTCCTAAACTATAGTGAGCCTACAACCACCTGTAAAGCTCACTAAAAATGAATTTTTCTGCAACCTCTTAATCTAAGAATAGATTTAGTAGGTTTGAGGCTATAAGGAAATCTCTTTAAAATAAGCATTCAAGATGATTTGTATACAAGTCATCCAAGGACCACATTTTGAAAAACACTTTGATGTATATGATCTACAGCACACAGTACTCAATTTCTCAAGCTAAGCAGGAAATGGGAGAAGTAGGACTTACATTAGCCCTCTTAACAAAGTTGAAGATCATTTCATAACTCCTTCCAAATTCTTCACATTCTGCAGTTCCTCTGGTTCACTCTACCTTCTTGCTACAAGCATCCATCCAGTTGACTGTGATTGGGTGTAAACATAAGAAAGTACATACAATCCTATCACCAAGTACTAAGTGCTATACTCAATTCAAATTATGTATGCTTACCACTGTAAATCAAATGATATAAAGCTCTTACAGAATTAACACTGCAGCTTCGGTTCCCAAAACAGACTCAATGTGTATGGCAACAGAAAATATGTGTTATCAACTACACTTAACAAAAAGAATAGGAATTTGCTTATAACTTCAAGTGCCAAAGACTGCACATTAATTGTAGTGCTTGATGAAAGGATTAGAAAGGGGAAGAGATTAAAGATTATCTTTAACATGAGTGTAATATTTTACCCATTGAAAAGGACATTACAGTATTTCCAGTGCTCTACACTTCTGTACCCCAGTCTAAAATGCAGAAGCCTTTTGGTAGCTACTTATATTCAACTGATCATTTTTCACCTGTTATTACAGACCCAGCTTGTGCTATCAACTCAGTTCAAAACAAGTCAGCAAGTTTACCTGATGCTGTGCTAGCTGTAAGATCATTATCAAGAACACTCTTCCAAGAATATCCTGATAAAGAGGAATGACTAGGAAAGTATTGCCACCTTAATGCTTTAAGACACATACAATAGGGACCAGGGATTTAGCTCAGTATGGCTGTGCCTGCCTGGTGAGTGCAACGTCCTGAGTTCGATCCCTGGTACCAAAGGAAAAAAAAGGACAACATATAATAGAGGAATATAAAAAACAAATGATGGTATCTTCTTGAACAGGCTAGGCCTCACCAATCCCATTAAATACAGGGCAAGAAATCAATGACAGTCTATACTTCACAAATATAGACTAACCTCCTAAACCTGGATATATCTAGTTCAACATCACCTAAAATCACATCTTCTATAATGAAGAAGTTAGCTGAACTAGCAACCCATCGATACACTGCAGTAACTGAGGGGCTGCCTGCCAGTGTGCTGGATTCGGGCATCCTGCACCCATATCTGCAGTGCTGAGCACTCATTTATCATTAAGCTGCAGTAGTGTTAACATATGCTGCAGCCATACTAATATGTTAGTTTTATGATCACCACTGATCTATGCTTACACTAGGTCAATAAAGTAAATATTCAGTGAACAAAAACTTAAGAGCAGCATTCAATTCACTTGGGGAAGCCAGAACCTTCCTCCACCGAACCACAAAAATCTCCCCTAAGCTTAAGGATTCTGGATATAAGGGGTTAATCTGTATTAAGCACTATAGATATATAGAAAATTCAACCACCTTGAAGAGAAATGTATCTTTATTTTATATCCTACGCATTTACCGTCTTTGGGAGAACTGGTCAACCACGTTGGACAAGCAGCCAACTTTGATTTTCTTTTCCATCACTCAACAAACCAGTATTTGAATTCATATAACGTGAGTTTTTTGCATAGCCTGCACACACAATGAGGTTAGTTGGGGTCTTTCTAGGGGCCACTGGTGACTCCGCCCAAGGGGCAGTACACTAACAACTTGGTTAAACTTTGGACAGCTGCATCAATATGCAAACAGCCAGCTTCAAATGCCCAAGTCACTGCTTTGCTAAAAAGCCCATTAGAAACATGGGAAATGACCTGATATATAGATAAGGAGCTCAACAGAATTCACTAAAAGACTGAATTACTAGTAATATTTGCAAACAAAAGCAACAAAACAAAACCTTTACTGAAGGTATTTAGAAGATACTCAGTTTCATACGGGGTGTGGGGGTATCAGGTAAAACCTATTTTCACCTGTATAAAGATTTACTTCAAGCTCTACAGGTTCATTCATTACTAGATTTCTGCCTTACCCAAGGTCATCCTAGCATCTATTTGCCAAACTTTCATTTGCCATGTATATGTCATATCAAAGGTGTCAAACGCAACAAACTTTTATATCTGACATCCAAACAATCTGAAAATAACTGAAATTGTACAATCTATTTTTGGTAGAAAGACAAATGACAAGTATATAACAGTAACTTATTCATAAAAAATTAAATTTTGTGGTCTATCATAAATGTATTAGATACAGTGCAGTCACCATGCCCGCTAACACTATAACCATAAATGTAATGAAAATTAAAGCTCCTCAAGATAGGAACCTTGTTTGTACTGCTCACCACAAGTCCTCAGGACCTATTATAATGTGCGCTCGGGAGGCTGAGGCAGGAGGATCAGTGTGAGTTCAAGACCAGCCTGGGCTACATAGTGAGTTCCAGGGCAGTCTCAACTACATAGTGAGACCCTGTCTCAAAAAACCAAAAAAAAAAAAAGCGGGAGATAATGCTCTGTAAAACTATAAAATACCTGAATCACCTAAGAACAATTATACTATGGTCAGTACAGCTTCAGCATTAGAGATATTCTAAATACTTAGAAAACTGTTCATTAGTATACAGTATACCCCAATTAACTAGAACTCCCCATTCTTCATTCTGGATAAGAAGTTGTTTACTATAAACCACTGTTAATAAGTAAAGGTTATTTATGTGACACATATAAAGGCTGTTCTTTGAACAAATACTTATTAAACGCCTACTAAGCAGCAGGCACTGTCCTAGGATCTAAGGGTATAATGTCAATGGTCTCTGCTCACAGTTGCTTTCACGCTAGAGAAGCCTTTCAAAATTGAGGTTCCTCCTCCAGTTGGGTAAGAAAGAAGTTCTACAGGTGTATGAACTACCAGATAGGTGCCAAGGCACAGATCATTTGTTAAGACTGGTGTAAATGCAAAAGTACTACAAGACATACATGCAGATGTATTTCTAATCGTGAAATAAAATCAGTACTTTCCACACTCAGGACTGTCAGGCCAAAATTATTAGGGAAGTGAAACAGAAAAAAAGTTTAATTACATTGATAATTTAACAAGGAAAGCAAAAACCTGCCTGCTCCTGAAAAAAAAAAAAGCAATTACCTCAATTATTGTTTAATTGCTTCCATGCATTGTTTCATTAGATTAGCCCTGCTTTGGACTCAAAATAATAAATAGCTGTCTATTTTATTAATTCTTATTTTGTATTTTTAGTCTTATTTTGGATCTTCATTCTCCCTTACACAGTCTAATTTCTTTCCAGTCTCTTTGGTAAGACATTTCCTGTGTGACATTATTATTATATGGTACACGTTTTATGGAACCCAAGCAATCTTACACGTACTAGAATCAGAGATATAAATTCACTACAATTTTTCACACTCACAATATGCTTTCATTATCAATGATCTAGAAATTCACACCTGTTAAATAACACTGTCTTCACATACACACACACACACACACACACACACACACATTTTTTTTGAGACCGGTGTCTCACTACGTAGTTCAGGCTGGCCTCAAATGCGTGATGATTCTACCTCAGCTTCCTGAGTGCTGGGATTACAGGCGTACACCACCATGCCCAGCCTTAAGAAATATTTTCTTTGACTCTTTAGCATGAAATAATTTAACAAGCCCAAAATACACACACACACACACACACACACACACACATTTTTTTTGAGACCGGTGTCTCACTACGTAGTTCAGGCTGGCCTCAAATGCGTGATGATTCTACCTCAGCTTCCTGAGTGCTGGGATTACAGGCGTACACCACCATGCCCAGCCTTAAGAAATATTTTCTTTGACTCTTTAGCATGAAATAATTTAACAAGCCCAAAAGAAGTGGGAGAAGGGGGCTTTGTTGTTAGATTATAAAAAAAACTTTTAATCCATGAAAATGCTACTATACTTTTTTTTTACAAAGCAAAGAAAGAGTAACATGATCCTTCAAAGCTGCTATTATTTATTTGTTATTTATGAAGATGTTGACTAGAAACAGGCAGTGCTGTTACTGCACTCAAAAACATTCAACTCTCAAATCAATCATTTCAGACACCTCCTACATGCCGAAATCCTAAAATGCTATACACCAAATCCACCAATTTCTATTTCAAAATTGTCAAAAGAGAAGTTATAATTCATCACAAAGGAAAGACCACAATTATTAATGGCAAGATGTCAAGGCCATGTCTTTAAATCCTACAATTAATCACTTTTTTTTTAGCTTGAAAATATAGAACCTGGGAAAATAAATAGCATTTTTAAACGACTCAGCAAACATAGTGAACTACAGAAAATCATGAGATTCCTAAGACACTTACTTTCCATGTTGGGTTTAAAATGTAATGAAAGCCCTCTTCAAACACGTAGTCCTCTAGTTTTCCATGTGCAACAACTATAATCAACACCACTGTAATTTCTTTAATATTCAAAGCCAATTTCAGACAAATATAGGTCTGCCAAAACAACACAAATGCTTTTGAAAGGAATATCTCTAAAATACTCAAACAACCACAAGGACAGCACCTGGACTACATCTATCTCGCTATGCAATTCTGTACACCACCGAAATCCTTGATTTTAGCCTCCTAGTGAATTAAATTGGGAATGTCCCTCAAAGAATCCATGCCAGGCAAAACATAAGAACAGCCTGTGGTTTACTGATCCAAGAGATGTAAAATTCGCCCTTCCTCAATATTTTAAAGCCATTTTTTAGCAATGAGAATTTGATATATTTGCATTCAGTCCAATGGTTTTCAGCTGAGTTCTCTGCCCTAGGCCTAAGGCTTAAATAGTTTTCCGAAGAACCTTCCAGCACACTGTACTGGTACAAATCCCTATGACTTACCATAGTCATGTTTGAGCAGAGAAATGGGAGCAGTTGGCCATCCCAGCCGAAACAATGAGGGCAAAGAGCCTTTCAGTGTGAGCAAAAGTGATCCTCTGCAGAGATCTGGATTGGGAATGCAAAGGACTAGCCTCAAACCCGCAGGCTGGCACCTCAACAACTGCTGCAAATTCTACTGCATGCCCTAGCTTCCTGGGCCAGCAGTGCTTAATTACTACACTAACACAATGCAGATCACTCAGCAAAAGAGAAACAAAG